GCAGCGCTCGGTCTGCGGGGAGAGAAGAGGGGCGTCAGTGGGTCCGCGCAGCGCCGTCCCGGCTAGGAGGGCGCTTGCTCGCACCCACGCCCAGATCCACCTCCCGCACACTCTCTGGGCAGAACTGGGAGGTGCACATTCGGACTCCCGCGCCATCAGCACCCCTCGCTGGACCCGGCGCTTGTGTCTTCTTTGCCTCTACCCTGAGCTGAGCTGAACGGGGCCTCTAACCACGTCCTTTGGGGTCCCCTGCTCCACTGCTGCCCACCTTTCCTTCCCTCCATCCGCTTTCCCGATTCTGCGCGGCCCCTATCCCTATGCTGGGCTGCCCAGGGCCGCTGACACACCCTCTCTGGGCAGTGTTGGGCGTCTCCTCCCCGTGGGGCCCGGCCCTCATCCTTTAGCTGAGCTGTCGTGGATCCCCACCCAGAACCCCCACACTCCGTCTCAGAGCCTTGGGACTCTCAGACACCCTCCCATCTCCTCGCCGCAGTGGATCAGTTTCTCCATCCAACAAACTGAAGGCACTGACGTCGGAGTGGTGCCCACACCTGTCATCCCAGCATTCTGGGAGGCTGAGGCAGGAGGATCACAAGTTCCAGCCCAGCCTGGCAACTTAGCAAGGTTCACCCAAAAAGAAAGCCAGGGCTGGAGATGTAGCTCAGTGCGAAGGCCCTGGTAGCCATCCCCACTACTGGGGGGAAAGGAAGCAGAGGGAGAGAGAAGCGTTTAGGTTTCTCAGTACCGAGGTCTCCCCGTGCGTGGGCGCAGCTACTGTGAGCCCCACTCCTATGGAAGCGGTGAGGAGGGTGCGGATGTGAGCAAGGTCAGGGTCACATCACTTAACAGGTGGCTGAGAGAGACAGACAGACAGAGACAGACACAGAAACACAGACAGGCAGAGATACTCTCTGCACCTCCCTCCTTTGCCCAAATTTGGCCCAACCTCAGCATTTTCTCTCAGTTACCAGGAGCTGCCTCAGATCACAGGTTCCCAGGGCCCCAAGCTGCGATTTATGACCCAAGGAGTTGACCCTGCCCAACAGCGCCCCTCGGAGAGCGGGGCAGACGCTGGAATGGCTGGCCGCGCCCGCGAGGAAAGGCAGGTGGGGGACTCTCAGCCCACAGCGGGTGGCGGCCAGGCGCGGTGCAAGAGGAGATCCTGGATCGATGCCCGCCTGACCCGAGGCCCAGGCACCTGGCCTGAGAAAGGGGGGGGGCCCGAGGGGGGTTCTGTTCCCCTGGGAGTGAGGCTGTTTCCACTGCAGGGTGTGGGGGCGTCTCAGACACCACACACACCCCGGCTCTGAGCCTGGCTTTGGCACCTGCACCCCTGCCACGTCCCTGCTGTCTGCCTCAGTTTCCCTGTCTGCTCAAAGAAGCTTGCTTCATCCCTGTCTTGGGTTGGAGTGAAAAGGTGGGCATTTGGGGACCCCTGGGCAGCAGATTCCGGGTCCTTTAAGCCCAGGATTGGGACGGCTGTGTAGGGTGGTGCTGTGGGGTGAAGGGTGAACCCAGCTCGTTTCTGGTGCTTAAAATTCCACCATGAAGCTGGCTGGCTCAGCGAGAAAATAAAAAGCACAAAAAAGGCTGGGGCTGCCAGGCATGGTGGTGCACACCTGCAATCCCGGCACTGGGAGGCTGAGGCAGGAGGATCACTGTGAGTTCGAGGCCAGCCTGGGCTACAGAGCAACTGGAAAAAGACTTCTATGATGTTTCCTCCCCAAAGTGGTCTAGGGGTTGTCAAATAAAACTGGTGCACAGTTAAACTTGAACTTCACAGAAGCAACAAATAACCTGTCTCTCTCCAGCAGGGTTGGCTGTTTACAAGGGGTCCGGAAAAGCAGAGATGAGATCCACCCCCTCAGTCCTGTCCACCTTCCCAAGCTTGCTACCCAGTTTGGTGCAGTGACACACACCTGTCATCAGCTGCTCAGGAGGCTGAGGTGGGAGGATCGCAAGTTCAAGCCCAGACTGAGCAACTTACCGAGCTCGTCTCAAAAAATAAAATAAAAATTTTT